GAGTTATCGCTAAATCATTGCCAGCTTAGCAATATCTCACCAATTTAGTGAGATGGCCAATTACCTCAATGTTAACAGACTTGCCCCTGTAATCTTATTTTTTTGGGAAAGCTTGCTTTCTTAGGGCTGTCCATGTTACGTTATACAAAATTCGTAATAATATCATATTTTTTTGCTAACTTTATGCTTAATACAGTCAAAAGTCTTTAATTCGGACGTCCATAATCCAGAACGATCTATAATCCGGACCTCAAAGCTACAAACTTTCTGTGCATGCGTAAACGCATAATACCTCTACACATGCGCATTTGCGTTTACTCATGCGCATAATATGTTTACGCATGCGCGTTTAATGTATAACGGACAGTATAAGATAAGCTAAAATTATCTATTTCAGTTAATGTTGCAGATTGCGTTTTCCCTTAATCTTCTAATTGGATCCGGCTTATTATTTTTTGAAGACTGTTAGAGCAATTTTATAAAAGTAAGCTTGAACTTTCGATTATGTCAAGAAGAGTTTCCGATTCTGGAGCTGCCAAAGGATCTAAAAGGATCTGCGATGTCCATCAAACAAAAAGTGGAATTGCTGCAAAAAATGGATAAAGGCATATCATTTGTTTCTCTAACCGTTCCGAAATCTTTTTATCAATTTCACGCTGCTCTGAGGGGGGGAGGGGACGTCGTGGTGCGCAATGAACTGGAAGTTTGATCTGTCAGCACTATCCTTATCTTCAGGGCAGATGTTTTTTTTTTATTCGGCTTATAATTCCTTACTAAATGTAGTATTTCATCTCGATGTACTCTTTGATATGATTTAAATCAAATTCCTCGTCATTATAAATATCACGAATACACATTTCAAATAGTTTTCTGGTTGCAATTTTCTAATTTCGACTGTGCGTAATGTATGCTTTATGCATGCGCGCATTGAAAGAAATGTTTAATGAAGTAAACAAATAAATATTAAGCTTTTTTTTTGTAAATTACTGTTTCATATTTTTAATTTTATAATTTCTGCATGTCATCTTACCAGATTTAAACTGATGATCTATAATCCAGAAAAACCGATAATCCGTAATCGCCGAAGTCCCGACGAGTACGGATTAAAGACTTTTGACTGTACCATGTTTAAAAGCATTGCTGATGAGTTGTTGGCGAACTTCACGAGTAAAAACTGCACAGTAGCCAGCAAGTTTTCTGCAGTATCACCAATGTATGTTTCTGCAGCATTGCCAATGCAGGTTTTCTGCAGTATCGCTCAGCAGTAGTAAACCCAAAGAATTTGCACACACAAATGACAATAAATTAATTTGTTGTCACTGTGCACCAACCATTCTCTTTAAATTTTTTTTACAGTTTGTTTTTGCACGATAAAGCATATCTTTTTTGTTAATGATCTTTGAGATTTCTTTCCAACTTTCATAACAGTTACTTTTGATCCATTTACTAAAAGTATGCTTGATAGCAGTTTGTTCTTAACTATGAAATTTTGTAGAATGAAAGCAAAATGTATTGGCCATGTAGATATGGCACACTTTTAAAGAAAATATTTTTCAAACCTTGTTATTGCTCATCGCCACTTTTTTCCCATTCCATCCACATGCTGATCTAGACTTTTTTTTCACTGACAAATGTTTTTATTTTTAACATAAAATCATTTAACAATTTGTTTGTCCAACTTCGATTTTAATCCGGATTTTCAGCTTTTCTTGTTCATTTATTGATGTTGATATGTCTACATCTTTTTTTACAAAATACTTAAACAGTAGTGAGCTGTAGCCAGTGCTGAAATTGCGCCGGAGGCCCGCTCCGGTGCTTCTCAATTTTAAAGATAAATTACAATTCTAGCCGAAGCGCACCGGAGCCCTAAATAAGATGAGCTCCGGTACTTCATTTAAAAAAACTGAATCACAATTTAAAGGGAAAAAAGTTATAATTCTTAACATTTTAGTTTAACAATAAGCAGACCTTGCAATACTCTATTTCCCTAGAAATGCGAACTCATGAGAACATGAGATGTTCAAGTAAAATCACTCACTCACATGCGGAAACCTTTCCCTTTAAGAAGGACACTAAATTTGGGGGAGTTTTTAGGAACGCGTAAAATTTCTCGCCAAGCATCAATTAGGTATGTCATCGATGCTTACAGTTAGTATCCCGCAGGAAAGAAAAATTGGTTTTTAAATAGGAATTAAGTGACAACGAGTACAGTAAGAATGTTTATGAGATAAACTGCTCAAGCATGTCCTATACATCATCTTCCCACAGTATCCATTAATGGGGGGGAAGCATAACCAGCAACTTTACATTCATCCTTAGGAGTCAGATTCAGGACTAATTTTACCCGACACACATTTGCTTGATGGCTATAATTATATCAGCAAAGAGCCGCAGTCAAAGAGAACATTCTTTCTCACCAAGATTCACCTTATTTTTTGTTTCTACCCACTCATACCCTCATTCCGTTTCGTCCTAGAATTTTCATCAGCTATACTTTAAGTATATTTAATTTTTGTGATGATAAAAGAACTTTCCCCCACTCCTACGATCACTTAAATTGGGCCAGAGCCCACTGGATCTCGGCTCCAGTGCTTCTTAGTTTTTATAATAAATAATAATTCTAGCTAGAATGACCGGAGCCTGAATAAGGCGGCGGCATCTTTTATGTAACTGAATAACATTCAGTAGAAATTTTATCTCAAAAGTTTATTTTAACAAAAATTCTTAAAAATACTTATTAAATTCAATTTATCTCTTGACATTTTATTAATTTTAATTATTTAATAACTTCAATATAATTATTCAATAAATAATAAGGAATTATCGAATATTATCAATTAAATTATAATTAGTAATTAAATAACAACTATAAACATAATAAATAGCTATTAATTATTTGATAATAATTAACTATTTAAAAATTATTAATGAGTTTAATAGTCATTATTATTTATTCTTGTTCCTCTTTGCTGATGGTCTTCCATATTGCTCCCGCACTTCTAATCTTAGAAATGAAGCCCTAAGCCCTAGCTGAAGCACATTTTCACCATGCATTTTGTTTTTAATTATTGTTTCTTTTTATACTTATGCTTATAGCTTATGTTTGGCATTTTGCAAAATTATGATTAAAAAATGAAATTATAAAATAAATAAAATAATGCTTATGTTGCTTGTTATAACAAGAAATGTTATCGCAAACATGCAAACATTGAACATACATGCACAGTATGTTTATTTGAATTTGTCACATACTTCACACTCACTATACACTGGTATATTATGTAGCACAAAATTCAGTTGCATTATTTTATCAATTATTAAAGTAGTATTTATTTGCATCAGTTAAAAAGAACATAAATATTCTATGTTATTTTAATTTTCTAAAATTCATTATAATTTAGGTTTTGTTTATGATTTTTTTTTTTTTTTTTTTTTTTGCTTTTAAATATAAGCCACACTCTAGACATACATTTCTTTACTTGCCTATTGCTTATTCTTTCTGCAATGAATAGACAAAAACAAAAGCTAACGATTTTTTTTTCTTTCCTTCTATTTTTGTAAAATAAAAATCTGTTTGAAATTACTTTCAGTTTTCAAAAAAAGGTACCAATGTATGCTTTCAATAAAAGCAAAGTAGTCTAAAACTTCCATAAAGCAAAAAATACCTTTACTTTTGATATAGTAAATATGTACATTAAAAGATTTTTAGCATTTGTAGCAATAAATTTCAAAATCTAAAAAAAGTAATGTTTTTGAACATATCAGTGCTAAATAGAATGTTTGATAAATTTTTAATGCTTCTAAACAGCTAATATAAAATTCAAACAGCTACTATACAACAACCTTTAAAATTAGAAAATTTATTCAAGTCAAACTATTATAAATATATGAAAACAAATTTTAGAAAAGATTTACAAGTTGATAACAAATCAATTAACCCAATTTATTAAAAAGTAATGAACACTTTGTACTACACAATAACTTTACCCATACAAAATAATCCTAAATAAAGTAATAAATACCTTTCCTAACTGTTAAAATTATTTTTGTACACAAGGCCAGTACAAGACAGTAAATTTTGAGATACTTCTCAAAATAAAATAAATAAATTTCTCATAAAATTGTAAACACATTAACCTACATAAATGAAATCTACAGAAATATACTAACCAAAAAAATTAAATTCAAATTTAATTATTTACTCTGCTTGTTAACTGAACTTTTCAGTTATATTTTTAATTCAGTTTTTTAGTAATTCTTAAATGAAGTTCTAAGTAATATAAAACACGTTTCAATATTAAAAGAAAAGTTAAAAAAAAAAAAATCATACTTTAAATGAATACGTATTACCAAAGACGTTTTCAAGATGAGAGTATATTTTTCATGTTCTTAATGATAAGAGTATAAAATGCAAAATGCATTTCATGCTGTTATGAAATGGAATATCACGAAATACTTTCAAAGAATAAAAGCATTTCAAAGGGTTTCTTATATGAGATGAATTTTTAAATGTAAACCAATTTTGCTGAAAAACATCTTATGAAATAGTAAGAAATTACAGACGGAAATCAAATCTACGTATGACTTGCAAAAGTAAATATATAAAATAAAATTTTATTAATAAATATTTTGACGCATTTTCGGAGGAAAACGTTATTTAACAGATACCCTTCAGGGACACACTGAAAGTACTAATTATCATGTTATGTTATATAATTAAACTACGATCAAGATTTATAGAGTACGTTTTAATATTTTATATAGTTCTTTACTATTCTACTTGCAAAATAAAATCATATTAAAACTTAGTTGAAGTAGAGAAATGAAACTCAGGTAGTTAAAAATGAAATCTGGTTTTATTATTCCATTAATTCAAGTAAACAGGGACAAATTATTAAAATGTTACTAGCTGTATAATTGGCAGCTGATTATCAAATAAAAACATTGATAAGGGGGAGTAAGGTATTGCACTGATAAAACACCAGTGAAAATATCCTCACCTTGAAATCTCTGTATCAGCCGAACTATTATTAGCACGTCTGATGATGACAAGAGATAACAATACTTGTGAAAATTATCTTTAATTTACAACTGCAGACCACTCCTCGGAATGTCTGCAAGACTACACAACGTTTATTCACCCTAACCCCACCTTCAAAGTCGGTCAGATAGTAACACAATACCCTAACCTTTGCTTTAGCACACCATGCCGCTGTGGAAAGTGTATAGAGGACGAGTAATAAAATAATCCGTCAATAAAATTGCTTATTTTTTTTCCCTGAGAGATTTTAGAGGCATACATTTTGCACGTATTTATATAACGATGAAATAGTTTTAATTAAAAAATCAAACAATATAAAATGGAATAAAGATAGTATATGTAGATTTCTACAACTAACCAAGCCGGAATTGTGTTCGTCCCTGGTATGTTAATGTGTAGTAGCGCTCACTTGACTCGGTTTTCCCGTGTCTTCTGAATGGATTAGAGGAGAGAGGCTTCTGTTCGAAAAGGCCGGCAAGCGGGATTTTCTTAAAAACAGTTTTTCAGTTTTACTGTTTAAATAAGTATATATATTTATTCTTACTTGAAAGAAAATGGCGCTTTTCAGAGTTTTTGCAAATCGCCTCTTCGCTCAACCACAGGTAACTATGGTACCTCATTATTTAAATTAATCATAATGGCTCCATTATCTTTATGGAACAATTTATTCAGGTGTATGTGGTATTAATGTATGATGCTTAATTCATAACTTTTTGGAAAATTTGCTACTTCAATTTCATCTTTTAATATCCTACCCAGAGTCTTCATGGAGAACTTGACATGACCTTGCGAAAGTAAAATGAAGCAACTTTCAGTAGTTCGGTACCATAAAATTATAAGAAGGATAGAAAAAATAAGTATATGACTGAATATTGAATTATTTTCCTCATTAAGTGTAAAAATGTTTTTGCATGTTGTATAAGAATATATATTAAAGAAGTGGAGGAACATATTTATAAGCCTAATTTTTTTTTCTTTTCATTGTAAAATCGTGGGTTCAGAAGGTTTTTCGATGAATATGCTTTAGAATTGATTTGTACGCTGTTTTAATTTTAGATTTACAGGATCAAAAAGTTATACAACTGAATTTAAATGTAGCATTGTTTCTTATCAAAGAAAATTTAGTGAAGGAATTCCCATATGCAGACCTTTAAATATGCACATATTTTTATGTATTTTTGAAGAGGTAGAATTAAATGAATAGTATCTATGTGAACTTAAATGCATCGTTCTTTACTCAAAAAGTTGATTAAGAAAATCATCATATACTTTAAAAGCTCTCCCTTATAAAAATGTCTTATAGAAAATCTAATAAAAAATTGGTAAATTCCTTTAGAATTATGGCCCAATTTCCTATAAACTAGGTCAGAGATCTATAGAATCCTGAAAATTATTTGATGAAGTTTCTCTAGAGATTCGGTAGATATGTAATAAGTATTTTGTAGAGATTTGTGCAGATTCTATAAAAATGTACACCGAATTTCTAAAGGTGCCACATATAGTATCTTATATAATGTATACAGAATCAACTAAAAATTTTATTAGAGATATCAGATCCAATTTATAGAAAATTGGGCTGTAATCCCAATGACTTCTACATATATGTTCTTGCTTTAATTTTAAGTAAAGTACAGAATCGCCCACTTATTTGTTTGGCACTTTTTACAAGAGTAAGAAGAATTTGATTTTTGTCAATTTTCTTTGAATTTTAAGTGAAAATAGATTGATGTGTACATGGATGAAGTCAAGGGAGTGCAAAATGCCATTTTTGTGCAATTCTGGGATTTTTTTAAAGTGAAAATAGATCGATGTGTACATGGATACAGAGTATGTGCAATTCTTAAAAACGCACCGAGCAGTGGGTATAGAACTTTTTGATATTTAAAGTGCATTCTAAAATTTACAAAAAATTTTTGGGGATGAAAAAGAATGAATTAAATTATTATTTTTGAATAGAATATGTTAGGTTTATCAAAATTTTGAAATGACCTATGACATGGTAGTGGTAGTTTGGTACACATGCATTTTTCCCCTCTAAGAAAAGAAATAATTTCTAACATTAAAAAATATTGAAATAAAAAGGTACATTAAATAATAGGCAAGTTTAAAATTAAGAAACCATTTCTTTTATCAGGAGTACAAATACAATAATTAAAAGCATTAATTTCTGGCATTAAAATTTTATAATTAACAATATAAATTTAAACATTTAACTAATTTCATGATTTAAGTTGATTTTATGCTTTTACAAGATAAAGTTTTGTGTATTATTAAGCAGTACTATACAAAAACTTGGAAAAAATGTTATAATCAGTTAGAAGCTAAAAAATGCTAAAACTAAAGGAAAGGAAAAATTTCCATTTAAAGAAGGATTCAACACTTATAAATAAAAATGTTTAATTTTTCTGTATACCACATGCTATACCAAAAACTGAATTTTTGCTTTGATTAAAGTTTGAAAACTTTGCTGGTTTTCATAAATTACCATTCAGTAAAGGCTGTATAAAATTTCTGCATTATGATTTTGTAAAGCAATATTTCTATACAATTATGGGCTGAATTATGTTCTATGAAAACTATAAAATATTCTTTAGAATTTTATAGGGAAGTATTTCTGTAAATTATACATTTTCGTAGGAATTTCAATAGAGTTCGATCAGCCTTTATAAAATTTTTCTTGAGGGTTTGCATTTACTTCCAGTTTGTTTAAAAAGTATGTCGTCCTGGAAAACGCAAACATTTTGTTCTATTTTTCTCCTCCAAAGATAATTTTTTTTTTTCCTAAACTGGAATATTTCTTTCTCCTTTTTACCACCTGTGAAGATCTATTTAGAAGTTCTGTTCAAATCGACCGCGTACTTGTAGTACTCAAGGGCGCTGAATCAGAACCCCAATGACAAGGACCATAAAACACAAAGACTGGTTATCATTCAGATCAGATATTTTTCGCTTTGACTTCGCTTTTTGTACCTAACCCCAAATCTATTACAATGTAAATGCAATTTTTAAATGACAAAGTAAAAGCTCTGTTCATTGAAGTAAAAATAAGTGCAGTAGCTAGTAATGCCTATTTGAAATATCCTTAATTTTGTTTTGTTATTTTTTGATGCACTGTAATAAAAATAATAACCAAATTATTTCCCATATATTTTTATATATTTAATTAAAATTAAAAAATTATTTATTTTATGAAAAAAATATCTTCCTTTAGCTTAGATATTTAAGGTTCTTATTTAAAATTGCAGTTATTTAATTTAGAGTTTTTTAGCTTATTTGTACTTTTCTAACAGCAAAGAAAGTTTTAATTATGTGAAGTGCCATTTCAAAGAGTAAGAAGATAGTAACCGTTTGTGGTTGTTCTTGTTGAATAGATTTCTAGAGAAGTGACAATTCTTTTTAAATTGGACTGAAAATTCACCATTATCTTCTCTACATATAATAAAACAAAGAGTCTGTGTGTGTGTATCTTTCGTTCGCGCTGCGTGTAAGCTAATAGACCCACGGCTACGAAATTTGGTACATAGGTGCATCTAGACAAGAGCCAGTGCACCTCGAAGCGATTTTTTTCGAAATTCGAATTCGAATTTCTTTTCATTTTATGTTTTGTGACGAAATCGTGCCATTTTGAGAAATAATGGGCTATAAGAAAGCGAAATTTTACTCCACACACTCCCATTTTCACATCGTCATGAAACGTAGACACTTAGCTATTTTACGAACTTAAAATAAATTTCGTGTTTCAATAAATCGATTAAATACGAATTTATTTAACAAAGGGAACTTAACACCTTTTCAACAGGATTTTTTCTAAAAAAGTTTGTTTAAAAATGTACAGATAATTTTTCTTTGATTTTTGAACACGTTAAACTTTCATCCTCGCGACTGCTTTTACAAAAAGAATTTTGGGAAAATGATAATATTTTGTATTTTTAAAAAATTTTTTAAATGAAGCTTCTGAGTACACTTTTTTTTTTTATTCTATTGAATCTTGTCCATCCACAAAGCCACTTGAAGAGAGAACAAATTTGTTTTTACTAGATATATATTCTTCTCTTAGTTTCTTCTGCCAAACACAATACAAAATCCCTTCTGCTGATATTTTCTTTTGTAACTTCCTTATACAGAATACATGCATTTATGCCTGCTAAGTACAAAATATTGTAGAATACATGTACTGGCCAATGGTGCTTTCACGGAGTACTTTCTTGCCATTTGATCCAAAACATCTACCCCGAATTTTGTAGAATTGTAAAACTGTATTACATCAGGAACCTTCTTTTCATTAGATTCAAATTCAACTGATGAATGGAGTGTGCGTAAGAAAATTACATTTTTGTTCCTTTTACCTTGATATGATGTAAGTGTTATATAGTCCTGTTTCATAATAAATGAAGAAAAATGTTCGTTTCTTACATTTTTGAAACTAGAGGGAATTTCTCTTTTTTCATAGTTTCATGAAAAACCTTTGGTCCCCAAGTCTTGGACCACAAACTAAGAATTGGTAAGCCCTTGGTGGCTAATGCCCCCCTTACATACAACAATGCTATGAATGCTTCCAGTTCTGCTAATAAAATAGTGAAAGAGTCATTATGAAGTTTACACTTGACTTCAGCATCAGTACACTCCTTTATGACGCGTAAAATTTTTTCATTTATTATTAACTTCCACGCACTAAAAGCTTTACCAGAACAAATGTAATGTTTAGCATAGGATGTCGGTCCTGCATTTTTTCGCAAGATATTTTGCAAAGGTCGCCGACTAGAAGTATATAAAGTATTTTCTACTTTCCATACAGTTCCAACACTAGCAATTTCTTTAGAAGTGTTAGTCTGAATTACGTTGAATTTCATATTCCCTTTTGAGCGTCTACTAGTTCCCGCTTTGGCATTCTTAGGTACAGCAGAATGAGAACTCGTAGAAACAAATCCATTTGTACTTTCACTTGAGCTAGAGGATGGGATTGGCTTGATTACTCTCTATAATAAATTCAGAATCACAAGATGTTTCATCTCCATCTTTATCTGTAGAATTATTTTCAATTTCAGAACCGGAATCGGCATCAGATCATTCTTGCATCAGTTTCACGATTTCTTCATGCGTTAGTCCTTTTCTACGCACCATTAGTACGTCACTATAATACATTCGTGTAAATAGAATGAAATTTTCCATTAAAACTTGTTATGAAAAATCTATAAACATTCAGCTCTTAATAATCTCTTTTCTCTGTTTTCTTTCCACAAAGAAAGTATTGCACATATTTCAAATTTCGTGACTGGCAGATGTGAAACTATGCAGACTCACCATATTCTTTTCCTTTGTATTTTGTTTAGCAGGTGTAAATAAAAATAGTTTACAGAAGTAACAGTGTTGAGATAATACAATGAAATGTATTCACATTTCTTTTTTCTCAAAGGGGTCAAAATGACACCTGCTGTATTTCTAGGTATAATCATTTGTTGAGGCTGTAATAAAAATACGATTTTCTTGAAATCTTTACTATTTCATAAAACACAGTGATTTAGTAAAAGTCGAGAAAAGATTAAGATATTTGTGAAAAAAAAGAGCTGTCAGAAATAAAAGTTCGCTAAGTGTCAAAATGACC